TAGACTTTTCAGAGGCAATTGCTGCCTCCAGCATCGGGGCGATGACTCATGTTGGAGGTAGCAAATACCTCCGAAACGTCGGTAATCTCTTAACCGGATTACATGTAACAACAACCTAGAAGACAGCCATTTTCAATATGGAAAAATTACGCACCCAAAAAATATTTTATTCTTGTAAATGAGAGTTAGGCGTAGAGCTGAAAATCCATCGTCAGAAAAAACTTACAGCAAGGTATCGGTAAATATTTACAGAATACCAAAACTGTCATTAAACGTATATGATTGAACCCTATCGCTCTCACACGTTGATAAAGGATCATCTGAGTATATTAAAAGTACGTACACTATATACATATAACACTTTATACGATGAATAATGTCCAATATAATATCAGTTTAATGAATCGAACACTGTCACAGACCTGCAATCATGTGTAACATGGTGTTTAATACAGGCCAACATTTATAGTTCAAGATGGCTTGCTGATTATCAAACTAAAAGTATTCAAGCAATTCCAAGTATTTTAAGGTATTAACACATCAAATTAAAAACAGACAGAGTAAAGACGTAAATGAAAACAATGAAACTAGAATGTTCCTGGAATTTAGAATACTAATTCAATTACGCTTTCATGGAAGTAAGAACTGAAATTTTATCAGTTGACGATACTATTCAGAGTTAACACAGAAACATCACTGCCTCATGTACGGGTGTGTGAAAATACAGAACGGAATAGAACGTAGCTGAACATTGATCTGGAAACACCATGCAGAAACGGGAACACACACACACACACCCAAGTCATCACTGGCGCACGCTTTGATTTCATGACTCTCCAGAGAGCGATACAATTCAGTTAATTTTTTTTTTTTTCCATTGTCTGTGTATGTTCTCTTAAAATCCTCTCGCTACTTCCTAGCGGAATTCTCATACCTCTTGCATGGAAATACTTAGAGCAATAACGTAGTATGTGTTATCAAATGCAAATGTTTTTTGAGTAAAATAACAGAAGCCATATAATTCATATCAAATCTAAAACT